TTTTTTTTTTTTTGCTGCATTATTTATGATCGCCAGTGTATTTAAAAGCCGCGGAAGACGGTAATTCTAGTGGGTGTAATAACCTTGGTTGGTGTTTTGAAAATGGTTTAGGCGTTGCCAAAAACAAAGATAAGGCATTTGAATGGTATTTGAAATCAGCCAAAGGCGGTAATTATAGCGGACAAAATAATCTTGGACGTTGCTATGAAAATGGAATAGGTATTGATAAAGATGAAAATAAAGCATTTAAATGGTTTTTAAAATCAGCAAAAGGTGGCAATTCTAGTGGGCAATTTAATGTTGGCTTGTGTTATAGGAATGGTAAAGGTACATGTCAAAACATAGAAGAGGCTGCAAAATTTTTACAAAGAACAAGAAGTAATCAGCATCAACATGTAAATTACGAAAACTTAGATACTGATCTTGCCGAATTTTTAAAAAATTCAATGTCTGAAAACAAATATCAATTATTTTGGATTCCATTCGAAGAACTAAGAAACAAACAAAGAATTGTTGGAACAGCCGTACTTTCTGCTAAGTATTCTGCCGAATGGACATACTTACACAAACATAAACATATAGCAAGAACAAAAATGGTTCTTCTAAAACTAATTTGTGGATCAAGATATGACCGCAAGTTACTTATGAAAGAGGTAAAGATTTAATGACCTCAATACATCACGCATGTAACTTCGATAAAGATGACTAATAAACTTACTTTTAAAGCTACAAGCATTTTACAGTATTGGATGCAAGAATCCTACATATCTTCAATGTTATGGAGTATCGAAAGATAAAGAAACTGGTGATTATTGTCTGGTCATCCAATATGTACCGTTGGGTTCTTTATTACATAATCTTCGTTCGGTTGCACGAATGAAATGGATAGAAAAAGTAAATTTATTATTCTATATAGCTCATGACCTTCAATTGATTCATTCTCTTGATATTATCCATTGTAATTTACATGATAAAACTATATTACAATACGATATACATAATGCATATATAAGTAGCTTTACATTATCATCGACACCAATAGTAAAACATGAGATGATTGGACATCTCTTATTTGCAGCACCGGAAGTTATATATTCTCCAAGGCATCAGATATTTATTCCTTTGGAATACTTATGTGGCAAATTTCTTCAGGACAATCTATAATTTCGGAATATGGATCGATGAATAGTGCGTATACACTGATGTTTCAAATTCATAATGGCATGCGGCCAACTATACGTGAAGGCACAATACCGTGTTATTCAGACCTTATGAGAAGATGTTGGGATAATGACCCGGCAAGACGGCCATCTGCTTCAAAAATTTATAGGATCCTCTCTGATTGGAAGAATAATATTGCAGCATTTTATGAATCTGATCCAGTTGATTATGGTGAAGACAGTGAAGTAGATCTAATTAATGTCCCAAAATCCCCTGTAAATCACCCCGAATTAATTGAACTTTTTGGGAATTCTGCTGAAGAAATAAATGAGGAATATTTGGGTAATTTAATGCTTTAATTTCGGCTTCAAAATAGTGTTTAATAAATGCATAATAATCGAGTTTGCATATTTAGAAAATGAAATTAGGGAAAAATCAAAGTTTATAGAATGGGACGAGCTAAGTAATATTTCAAAACTTAGCGAAGGTTGCTTTGGTATGTTGTAGTATACATTATAATAGTAAAATAGTTATTTACTTCCTGTCTAATTTTTATTTAGGACTCATATTCAAAGCAGTTTGGATAAAGACGCATAATAATGTCGTTTGTAAAGCATTGATAAATTTACAGGACATAAACGGTAGATACTATACAGCGTTTATTCATGAATTAACAATACATAGTAGAGCAGATCGTTGTGAAAATATTGTTCGATTTTTGGGAGTCAGCAAAGGTTTTTTTTTTTTTTTGTCAGTTTATTTAATTGCATATTTAAATTAACTAGTTACATTAAAATAGATATTACCAATAGTCGATATTTCCTTATAATGGAATATGCAAATGGTGGAAATTTACGGGAATTTATTAAAACAAATAATCACTTATTGAATTGGGATAAAAGATTGGAATTAGCCCGTCAGATCACAAAAGGGTTAGGTTATTTGCATAGTGAAAAAATTATTCACAGAGACCTGGTAAGGTAGCCTTAGGTAATAATCTCTGCTAATACTGTAATATTTTAAATTTAAATCTTACAAAAGCCTTAATTAGCATGATAAAAACATTGTCATCCATGATGGCAAAGCAAAAATAACTGATTTTGGAAATGCTATAAGTATTAATACACAAACAAATATACATGACAGTCTTTTTGGAATGATTCCATTTGTAGCTCTTGAATTACTTAAACATGCCAAATCTGATAATATACCATATTGCAAAAAAACAGATATCTATAGTTTTGGCGTGATATTTTGGGAATTATCTAGTGGTCGTCCACCGTTTGAAGATCAACTAAAGATTTCTATAGCTATCAAACTCGTTCAAGGCTTTAGAGAAGATGACAAGTACGGAACTCCTGAATATAGGAATCTTTATATTAAATGCTGGAACGCTGATCCATATAAACGTCCAGATATTGAAGAGGTGCACAAATTGTTAGAAGAAATCGTAAACTCTAAAATATTGCCAAAGATTGACCCCCGTACTATTAATCCCGATGGTATGTATTATCTTTTTACTTAATACCGTAAATTCTCGAAATAACGGACATGGGCGTTACGTATTTCGAAAATTGAGCACCCAAAAATAGTATAGTTGGTTTGAAATAATGCCCATACACATCCCGAAATAACGCGCATTTCATAATAATTCTGCTCGTATGTTTTGTTAATTTTCATAATAAAATACTTGCTCGTGACAACCATGAAGAATCTTCACGGTTATCACGTGTCATTATGTTAGTCGGTCAATCGTGAAGGCAATAAAAAAATTTGCACATTATCATTGTACGTAGAACTTTTTCAAAATAACGCCCATGGGCATACTACTCGAAATAACGCGTTATTTCTAGAATTTATGGTATATTAACATTATAGTCTAATCTAATACATAATTAAAATTTTAAGTTGTCAATAATTCAAGAACTTCAACTAAACAAACCCCATTAACTGGAATTTATGGTAAATAATCATTTAATATGTTTATTTCGATATCATTCTATTAACATTTATAATTTTTTAATTCTTATTATTTTGTGACAGATTCAAACCTCGAAAACCTATATCTGTCAATGACAGAGGCGATTGAATTACCAGAATTAAGTCTTTCAAATAAGGATTAGATAAGACTATCTTAAACCTTTATTTGCGAATCCACCAGGGCGACCAAGAATTTTTCGGGTCACGTTAAAACATAAAATTCGTTTAAGTTAGGGTTATTGATATATTTAGGGTTAGAAAATAAAAGAAATATAGTAAATTAGTCGAGAAAGTCTTTTAATTAGAGCATAAAAGGCGAATTCTTATGTAAGTTCTTGAGATAAATGATATTTTTGGCAAAACGAATGTTTGTTTTGGACTTTCCTGATCGTGTTACGTTACACTTAATTACGATTTCCCATTGGATGAATTTGCTGTCGATCGTCACGTGACCCGAAAAATTCTTGGTCGCCCTGGTGGATTCCTTAAAGCTCGTAACAACATTGGCTACTCCTTTTTACGCCCTTATAAGGCTTTGGGCGAATATTTTAAAGATTCGGATTTAATCCGAAGTACGAATCGAATCGAATCCAAGTTAGGATTTGGAACCGTACAATGTAGACCTGGATTCGATTCGATCCGAACCTAATCATATCTCTTTTCGGCAGTTTGCATACAATTCAAACTACATCGATATATAGTTAATCCTCTCTAAGCACGAACTCCCCATAAGTGCTACATTATCTTAAGTTATACTATCGGAGTAAATGCAAAGCTATCTAAGGGTATTCTCAAGAGCATTAGGTTCAATTTTTAATTAGTGAAAATAAATTATTAATATTTAAAGAGTTTATTAAGAATAAGTAAATAATTTTTTTGGTTAAAAATTTTTTCTAAATTGGTATATTTTTATCGAGTGTTGCTAATTTGCCCCCCTGGTTACATAACTCGCATATATGATTAGCCAATTAAATCGCAGGATCTTGTGTAACAAAAACAAAGGCTAAAAATTAAAAAATTAAAAAAAAACTAAAAGTTTTAAATATTTTAAAATTTTATTACTGTATTATGTAAACCTACTTTAAGCTTTTAAATAAAAGTTTACAGCGCACAATTTTACATATATATACACTCTCTAATCGTAACCTAGCCCTAAACGATAGCTTAGAAGGAATAGAGTGAAGACCTTCAATTGGCTCCTCGTTCCCCGACCTCAATTCTATTGAACACCTGTAGGCTAAGGTCGACCGTCACCTTAGGAAACTTCCTGGTAATATTTCAAGTAAAAAAGACCTTTGAGAAAAAATTCAGGTGGTCTGGGAGCAAATTGATATTGAAACCTATATGAACCTGATTCGTTTAATGCCAAAATGAATTCGTGATGTAATTAGAGCCTGGGGAGGTTATACTAGATGGTAAAAGGAGAAAAAAATTAAATAGAAAAAAATTTTTTTTTTTTTGATATAAAAAAAATTTTTTTTATTTTACAGTTGTGCTGCTGTAAAAACGAGCAAAAATAATGCAGCACATGAATTGAAATAAAGCTTGTGCTTCTAAAAAATTTAGTTCATTAATATTTTTAAAAAATTTTATTTGTGAAACTGATACTATTTGCGATTTTTTTTTAAAAAAAAAAAGGGAATCCGTCCCGAATTGCACGAGATAATATGATCTAACGATTTTTTTTTTGCTATATTATTTATGATCACCAGTATACTATGAATATGCTTCATTACGTTTTTGTTAATACCTATTCCATATTGATAGCACCATCCTATGTTATTTTTTATTTCTAGACTTATGTCATTAGTAGATTCTAAATATAGTTTTAATGCCTCTTTGTTTTTGGCTTTGTCAATATCATTATTTGAGTATAAATTTAAAAATATTTTTAAAAATTGCTCTTCTCTATCTGACTCTATTTTACTAAAAGATAATAAATGTGGCCAGAATTAGAAACAGCTGAAATTGGAAATTAGACTTAGAATTTATAATAAAGATATAAAACCAAAAAAAAAAAATTTTTAGAATAAAAATCTTTAATAATATTTTATTTGATACAAAGATCGAGACATATATTGATATATGCAACATTTTCAAGGGTAGAGTGTACATAGATCATTTTATCATATGATCTGCATAGTATTTTTCAATTTTACCAAAAAATTGAAGATGCTACGTACTAATAAACCTTTTTATGATTATGTTCAATTTTTATTAAAATTTCATAGAATATAGATTAAAGTTTGCTTGTTATATTGATACAAATTTCAATTTGACGTACAACAACCCTGTAGATCACCCACAAAAAATTTTTAGGTGAGTTAGTCATGGCAGAAAAAAGTTATGGTGACATGATCTCTAACCTTTTCCGGCCCTGTCATGAGGTAATAAAGATAATCTATGATTCAAATTTTAGTCTTACACCGAATTATTAGAATTATTGTTATATGCGTTTAAAGGATTGTACATACATACGTATATAAGAACCTACAATTATAGATTAGTACAGCTTCTAGAATAAAGTAGTTTAAAGTTCTTAGAAGCTTCTTTATACAAAGACATTATTATACAAAATTTTGAAAGCAGACGAATTACAAGAATCAGTTATATAACAGAAAGATCTTTACGAAGTTTTAACTATTTCAATACTAAGTACAACTTATTTTTATTTATATAATACTACTTTAGTATTTTCTATATAACTTTACAAACTTTTACTTATCTAACTTTGACAAATCTATTGCAGCCAAAATGCTATTTTTCCTTTTCTTAAAGTTTTCGAAGTTTGTTGCTGTGTTTTAGCTCTAAGAACTTCATTACATGTTGTAGTTTCATTGATAAGAGATTGCTTAAGAGTTGTATAAGCTTTATAAAACTTATTATTTTCAATGTTATCACTTACAATTTTTACTAATGTTTCAAAATTTTTCATATCAGAGGCTATCTCCATTCTTCTATTCTTGATAATTCTATAGTATTCATTGATAATTTTACTTATGCTGCAACTATCTAATGTTACTAATCTGGAGTAAAATTCTGTGACATTGCTTTGTTGAATATTATTCCAAGGATTATTGTTTAAGTTAATCCTTGGAAGGTATATTTTAAAAGAAATAAGGGGATAATCATGATGATACATAGTGACAAGAAATTGTGAAAAAAAGGATAGATGTTCTGTTGAATATTTTTTTACTAAATGCTTGCATATAAAATAAAGGCTGTGCAAGAATGCTGAACAGGAACAAATCCAAGCATTGATATTGGTATGGTACTATTCTTCTGTACTTATGTCTTTTTCTAGAGCTAACTTCCAGTCATGTTTAAATGCATCCCAATATCTTGAAAACTCACAGTTATAATGAAATCTTCTCCAAGTATTTTTCATATCTGGTATGAGTTCTTTGGTAAGAATTTCTGTTAAACAGTCTAGACGTGGCTGATTAGAGTAATATTTATAATTGTATTTAAGAACACGCCAATAGGATTTAGTGATTATCGTGGTTCTAGCAATGGGTATTGCTTTTGAATAAACCGCACTTGCAAACAAGCACCAGTCTGTTTTGTTATACCAACTAGTCTATAAATATCTCTATAAGCTATAAAGATTCTTTTGATAGCAGAACTGGTAAGCTTCTAAAATACTTTGATATCAGATTTTTTCTATTGTAAGAAAAGTTTCTTTATCCACAGATATAAGAGGGTGTAATAATGAATATTTTTTAATTATTTCTAGTAACTTTTTTTAAATTCTTCAGGGCATACATCATTTTGATGTTCTACTAGAAACCAGGTTGAGTTAATAAAGAGAAACAAAGTATATGCCTTATATGCTTTTTGTGCTGTGTATAGACTTTTTCAGGTTTTTTTTTCTTTTAACTTGTGTTCAATTGCCTGTTTCATATATCAAAGGCAAAGGTATATAATTGCATAAGGCCAAGCTTCTTTTATAGCAGCAATTTTTCCAGAATCTTTGTCTAGAAGAATAAAAGATAGTAAAACACCTTCATCCTATAAGCTAATAAAAAATTCTTTAAAAACATCAACACGGTTATATATATTATTATCAGGATTTGAGAGTAGTTCTCCTGATGCTAAAAACGTATCTACATACAAATATGCAAGGGGAAGACCATATCTAAAAATTAAGAAAAAAAGAAAAAATTTTGAAAAATTAGAAAAAAAAATTTAAAATAATATATATATACATATATATATTATATACCCTCTACAATTAATATTTACTATGAAGAGT